TTCTGCTGAAGCTTTAGTTTAAACCGAGCTTTGCTGGCAAATGTCACTTTGAGCCTCTCTTTGATTTAGTTTGAAAGTCTTAACGTTTAATCGCTTATATCTTCTGCACACTTGACCAAGGTCTCTCCCGACTAGCTGCTACCGGTTATCTACGGCCGGTATCTGAACACCTACTGGTCAATGCTTCCTTAACAGTGTCTCCTATAACCAAGGCCTCTTGCAGGAGGGTTAGCCACCAGACCACGGGCTCCACTCTGGACTGGACGCTACACTGCTGACTTTGAAGGTAAAGTGTCGTGATTCTGTTCAGACTGATGCCACCGGATTTGCCTAAAAGCAATAGGGATTCTAGAGGGAGAAGCATTTTCCTATTTGAAGGATGGACAGACATAAGTACCCACTTACTTATGTACCCTCCCTCCATAAGTACCCTCCCACCTGGCAGGAGAAGGCTGACCCTCTACCACTGAACCTGAAACTCTCAGGAGGCTTTCGAAGTGTCCTCCAAGAAGACCTTCCTTTACTCAAGGAGGCGAGATGCCACTAGCAACTCAATTCAAACATGTAACCTGCTCAGTAAAAAACAAATGTAAGAATGGGGGCAGGGGAGAGTAAGAGGTACAATCTACTGGGTAAAAAATAAGCGACAAGGACACATTGCATAACATGCGGAATACAGCCGATATTCTATAATAACTATAAATGGAGTATAACCGTTAAAAACTGTGAGCCACTACATTGTACACCTGCAACTTACAGAATACTGTATGTTAACTATACTTTAAGAAAAGAAAACTTGGAACTTTTAGACTCACCCTCCATCTTCTGGGGGGAAGGTAAAGGGAGTGGAGATTGAGTTAATAATGAATTATGCCCATGTTGAAGCCTCCATAAAAATCCCTAAAATATGAGGTCTGGAGAACTCCTGGGTTGGTGTAATATCCACATGCCGGGTGGGTGGTACAACCACCTCCATGGGGACAAAGCTTCTGACCTTGGGACACATCCACACCTCACCTGACGGACCTCTTCATCTGACTGCTCACCTGCATCCCTTAAAAAAAAGGATGGGGAATGGAGGGCGATGTGAGGACGGCCCCACGACAGTCCCATAAAGGCTCCCTGACACGGGGCACAGGGCGCTCACCTAGAGCTTTCACGTCCCCAAGTACTTCCTAACTGCCCTGGGCCTGTTCTCTTGACTGTAAAACGAGGTTCCTAACCCAAGTTTCTTCTAAATTCCTTCCCAATTCTAAGATGCCCAAATTTGGGAGGCGGGTAACTTCACTGCATTGAACTGGGCTGGTCAACAATTCGTTTAAAACAAAAGCAGGGGTGGGATGGGGGGGGTGGGAGGGAGGGAGACGCAACAGGGAAGACATATGGGAACATATGTTTATGTATCACTTTGTTATAAAGCAGAAACTAACACACCATTGTAAAGCAATTATACCCCAATAAAGATGTTAAAAAAAAAAAAAAAACAAAAGCAATCCGTCTCCTGTTCAGCTTCCTTAGACACCATTCTGCTTGTTCACCATCTTTTCTTTTGACGACTTGCTCCCTCTAGTGATAAATTCAATCATGTATCAGAACTGGCCTGGGCAACAGTCTGCTTCAGAGGACAAGAACACGTAGAGGAAACTCAGCGTTAAGCAGAATGAAGGCAGGCCAAAGACGCAAGTGAAGAGAGGACGAGAAGAGCCCAAGGGCCATCAGCACCTGCAGTGTGCCCGTGACTGCTCCAGCGCCTGTGCCTCACGAGCAGTGCAGGGGGTGGCACTTCTGACTGCGGTACCTCCTTCCTCACGTCAAATCCAGACTCAGTTTCTTTTTCACTTAGCAAGATACAGGCTATATTAGGACTTCTGGAGACGGTCACCCGTCTAACGCAGACAACCACGCACATCTGCTCTAAGCACATGGGCTAAGCGGCTGCTAAGACATGAAGCCCTGTGCTCATTGTCGGTTTTCCGGCGGGGATGGTTTTGATTAAAAGCAGGCACTGTGCAGGGCCCCGACCAAGCCTCCAGCCTTCTCAGCGTCCCTTGTGTCACCAACAAAGAAATGCATGACTAGCCTCCTTCCTCCCTCCCAGACTGCATGACAAACATCAGGGCCGTTCCTGGCCATCAACCTTACCTGTATACAAATGTTGGTTACATTTTTCTAGCTTAGGTCCACAAAAAGAAATAAATTTCCACGATGTCTACAGAGATTAAGGTTAAACAACAGAAAGGTTTTCTTAGCCATGCTCTTGTTACTGATATATGGGTGAGAGGCTGAAGAATCTTCGAGAAGAGGAGAGCATCTGTGCACATTTGGAATCATTTTAGTTCCAACTCTGCTGGAGACAGAGTTTCCTTTCTACCCTAAAGTAAAGTATCATCACCGACTGATTCCATGTACGCGAGGCTCAAGAACAGGCAACACTGCTCTACGCTGGCGGCAATCGGAAGAGCGGCTGCCTCTCAGGACAGGGGCTGGGGGATGAGGGAACTTTTCAAGGTGACGGAAAAGTGCTGCATCTTGACTTGAGTGGTGGCTACACCACTGATTACAACTGTCAAAACTCATCCAACAGTACACTTTACGTCTGTGCAGCTCACTGACTGTAAATCTATCCCAATTTAAAATAACAGATGTCAGAGTCTTGGGAAGAGTTAACTTAAAAAACAGTAGATTCCTGGAGTGGGAGAGCGGTTGTGACACAGTCCTGACCATCTTGAGGTTAGATTTCCACAATTTACAGGGACGGGCCTGTTGTTCTGTGGGCCCGTATGGATCCCGGCATCACGCCTGCCAGGACTGGACGAGCGCTCGGGAGAGAACCAGTCAGAGCTGCGCTAACACAGGCCGGGGTCAGGATGCTGCCGCCCTGGGCACCGTGGTGGGCAGGAGACATGCCGGGCGTGCTGTGAGTGCTGGCGCACCTGCACACACTCAGTTACCATTAGAGAGAGGACTAGCCCTTCATTCCTCTCTGAAGACTCACGCTGGCGTCTGCTGGACATGCGGTGAACACTGGCAGATGCCTCGAGCAATGGGATGAGCGGACCATTTTTCAGTCTGACAAATGACTCTATGTCAAATCTCACCAATCAGAAAATCTTTTCTGAAATGGTCGTTCAGTGAACTTCTCTGGGAAGCATGGCATCAGAGGCACCTTCGTGGCCCTTGCCTGGTGCACCAGGCAAGGACTTCTCACACCAAGTAGCTTAGAAACGTGCAGGCAAAGATTTTCACTGACAGAGACAGTGGCCAACACCAAGCTCTCCTGTGTAACTCCCTCCGTGGAGCTCACCGGCCTCTATGACCCTCTATGGGCGACGGGCCACTTCAGTGCTCTGTAGTCAGCACCCGGGATCTCTCGTTAGGGGTTTTCTAATATAGTTCCTCACAGAGGCTCTCCTGCGTTCACTCTTCATCCCCTGAAGCCTCCCCAAGCCCCTGTGGAATGAAGTCACTGTCGTGTGCACACCCCCCCTGCCCCGGGGAGCCTCCACGCGGCATCTGCACCCAACGTCCACTCCTCCCCGTGAGGCAGCCCCGGCTGCAGCTGCACGCAGGCAGCTCTCACCACGCCACCATGGACACTGCTTTCTGGAGGCCCCTGCTGACTGTTTAGGATCTCGACCAAAATACAGGCAGGTCAATGACATAATATAGCATTTCTACTTCCTCTGCTAAAAACAAATTAGTTTTCATTTTCAGTATGAGTTATTAAACATATTCTGAGAACATACTGTCACATAACTGTAGGGTAGAAAAAAGGCCATCTTCTTACATAATTCCCAATAGAAATGTACATGGAGTCTCAATTCATTTAGTCAAAACCAAATCCCTTCCTTCTTGAAAAATGGTACTAGGGACTTCCCTGGTGGTCCAGTGGTTACAACTCGGCGCTTTCACTGCCGTGGCCCGGTTTGATCCCTGGTCAGGGAACTAAGATCCTGCAACCTGTGTAGTGAGGCCAAATAAACAAACAAACAAAAACGAAACAAAACAAAACAAAAACCAAAGAAAAATGGTACTAATGATACTAGAAAAGCATTAACTTTCTATCACATGTGAGTGGCTTACAGGAACCTGGAGCTTCAGGAAAGCTGGCCTGGGGTGCCCACAGCAGAGAAGAGCTGGGTGCCAGGCCTTAAGGGGTCTGGTTACACAAGAGCCAAGGAGCTAAACCTTATTTCAAAGTCAAATGTAAGTGACTTCTGGACTGTTCACACTATTCACTCTTGTGTTTCTCTCTGTTAGCGTGGAGAGGAGGTAGATCCATGAGAAACAGTATCACTCTTCACTTTTCTTCCCAAGATTTCAAAGTACTTCATACCATCCAATAGCACAACAGAGAAAAAGAGCCCGAACTGTGTTAGAACCTGGCAGGAGGCACTGAAAAATGCAGGAAACTCGTTCAAGAACATGGGCATTGTTACACCATTTAAGAAAACGGGGGACTTCCCTGGTGGCGCAGTGGTTAAGAATCTGCCTGCCAACGCAGGGGACACGGGTTCCATCCCTGGTCCAGGAAGATCCCACATGCCACAGGGCAATTGAGCCCATGCGCCACAGCTACTGAGCCTGCGCTCTAGAGCCCACGAGCCACAACTACTGAGCCCGCGTGCCACAACTACTGAAGCCCGTGCACCTAGAGCCTGTGCTCCACAACAAGAGAAGCCACCTCAATGAGAAGCTTGCGCACCGCAACGAAGAGTAGCCCCCGCTCGCCGCAACTAGAGAAAGCCTGCGCACAGCAACGAAGACCCAACGCGGCCAAAAATAAAATAAATAAACCAATTTAAAGAAAAAGGAAAGAAAACAGTATACCAGCGAGCACCCGTCCCATCTTGCAGAGGAGCGTCCACCTCCAAACTCTCCCTGGACCCAAGTCTGCACAGAGCCTGCTCTTCCTTCTGTTAACTGTGTGCACGCGAGCAGGGATGAGCCCTACGGGGACGCTGAGCCCCACGGCGGCAGCCTCACTGCTGGTTGCTTACCCACGCTGCTTTCACCTCTTCCGAGACATCAGTTTCATCTTCCTGGAAAGGGAGAAAGAAAAAAGACAAGAGGATCACGGTCACAGGCATCCCTGGAGGCAACAAGGTCAGCCCCATCAATTATGCACCTGGGCAGTGAGGGCTGACGGCCAAGGGCACTGTCACTGCTGCTTTTAGCAGCAGCTCAGGAGCACCACTTGCTGTCAAAGAGCCCAATGAACCTGGCAGGAAAAGGAGAATCTTTAAGACAGACGGACCTCACTTGGGCTTTGTCAGTAGCTGTCAGCCCATTTGGTCCTATAATAATCAAACACTTTCGCCTAGTAGTCTCTAACAGGCGACCATCATTGTCTCATTTCTTGTCTCACTGAATGGTCCATCTAATTCCAAATGAGTCACTAGTGACCAGGGACCTGACCTTGGCCACCTGACTGTTAAATGCCAGTGACAAGGCTGAGTGAGCAGGGTACAGACCAGAGGGGAAGGAAAGAACTGAGTGTGTGCTCGTCATCAGGAGGCACAGCAGCCCCGTCTTCATTTCAAAGCCAAAGTCAAGCTGTTTTATAGCACTTGTTCCTTTTTTTCTCCAAAAGAGTAAACCTGAGTCAGATGAAATTCTGAAGTGCTCGAGATTCTGGCAGTGCCCCTGACATACTTGGTTAGCACCTGCACACACACGACGCTGAGGTACTGCTGACTCGCCACGGGACTCTCAGGGGCCGCTGGGGGGCTGCTAAGTCTGAGCGGCTTACGCACTTGTATTTGTTTGCACGGCTGCTGTAAATTCCCCGCTTATTTGCTGCCTGCCTCCCGTGTGCTCGGCACTGCCCTAGGCCCTGGGCGTCCCAGCCGGAACATTCCAAATGAGTCCCACACTAGTGGAGTCTTTCTTCGGCTGCTCTTTTTCTCAGGGATGCCTCCTGACAATCTGCGCGATTCAGGGCCCCGTGTGGAACTCTTCCTTTTGAGCCCGACACGCAGGACGGCGGGCAGCACAGCGTGATGCGAGATGTCCCAGCACAGACAGCCCACTTACATCCTTCGTCCAGAAGTTGATGCCTGTGCCTCTCCGTCGCTCCTTGGGCCGCCTCCTCTCACGAATGGACAGCCTGTTAGACGACTGATCACCCAAATCTGCTTCTTCGCCCTCTGGTCAGAGAGAAAACAAAGCATGGATCTTAAGAACCTGGGGCACGTGCACTGGAGGAGGGTGCGGTTTCTGAAGCTCGACCTACCGTTTTTGTCCATTTCCTTTGCCCCTGCAGGGCTGGCGGGGGGCTCTGAACTCTCTGAATCAGGGGCTGAAGACCTACCCGTCCGGAGCAGGTAGGAACTGGTGTAGAGGGAGGGTCTCGGGGCAGGAGGTGACACTGGTGTCATGGGTTTGTCTGGCTGAGCCGGAATCCTCAGGCGACGATACACAGGCTGGAACAATCCACATGATGAGATGTCAGAGGTCAAGTCTAACCAAAGGGTAAGGACAGCACGTTTATTAAAAATGGGCTTTTCTATATCAAGAGGCTTATAAGTAATTAGCCAGATAGGAAAGAGTTCTAGACGCCTGCTCTGAAGATGCTACAGGCTGACAGCAGTCCAGGACAGCTCTTCCTAAACTGATCAAAGGGCACTAGGGGGCACCAACCTTGGTTATAAAAATTCCTTTGATTGTGCACCGCAAATAGGAAGGATGATGGCCTTTTTAAGATGGCGCACTGAAAGGTAAGGTTTACGTAGGAAACGAAGAAGCTCAGGAATGTGAAGAAACAATGCAGGAGTTATCTGAAGACAGACCAAATCTGAGCGTTCTACCAACCTGCCATCACTAGGCTTACTGACACTTCTGAAAAATTCCCGCTTTCTGAGACTTCCCTGGCGGGCCAGCGGTTAAGACCACGTGCTTCTACTGCAGCGGGCACAGGTTTGATCCCTAGTTGGGGAACTAAGATCCCGCATGCCACACCAAATAAATAAAAATTAAAAAAAAAATTCCCACTTTCCCTTTTGAACTTTTTTTTTCCTTGAGAGTTAGGACAGACACAGCTTGACAATAAACCTTAATGTGGCTTGTTGAACATGCAGAGATAAAGAAATTCTTACTACAGGCAGAGACTGTATAAATTTGTTTATAAATTATAGAGACAGAAGCAATAAAATATAGTCAGCTTGGGAGTCTGAGAGAACGTGGCTCCAATTCCAGCTTGAAGGAGCTGTGTGACCTGAAGTACGTGACTTGAGTTTTGATCTCTGCTTCCTCACGTATAAAACAGGGATAATAATATCTTCCTCAGAGAGGGCTGTGAGGATTAAATGAGAATGTATGTTATGTGCTTACAATGGTCTCTAGTATGTAATAAGTACTCAAAAAATAGCCGATAAAACAAATGAAACGAACAACAGAACCTCAGTTAGTTTATGCAGCCTAGCCATTCAAAGTTAGAGCAAGAAGACTTTCTTCTCCCGTTAATTATGTTGACCATAAAGTTTATCATCCCAGCTAGGACATTTCTGAGAGTGAAAAGGAACAGTACTGATAATTACCCAGAGATAAAAGCTGTCACTGGAACAATCTTAGGTAAGCCAGGAGTTATGATCACCTTAAATATAACCCTATAACTCTGACTACCAACTGCAATTGAGAAATGGACCGTAAGTCAAAACGTCTACCCCAAAGTGACAGCTTGTGGCCGAGAATAAGGGTGCTCTGTGAGTGCTTGGGTCTGCAGAAGTTTGTAGAACAACGTACTAGTGGTGAGGAGGGCAAGCTGCGGCGCCAACGCCTTGCTCCACCTCTGCTTTTTTTTTCTAGTAAAATATTTTATTTTATAATACTGTACCATCAAATTAAAAGTCAAAATAAGCGTTCACCCAACTGCCTAAATGGTTATTACATATACGTATATATTTGGTTGAAAAGGGAGAGAGAAAAGAGGAATTTGAAGGCTAAAATAAACAAATGGGACCTAATGAAACTTAAAAGCTTTTGCACAGCAAAGGAACCCATAAACAAGACCAAAAGACAACCCTCAGAATGGGAGAAAATATTTGCAAATGAAGCAACTGACAAAGGATTAATCTCTAAAATTTACAAGCAGCTCATGCAACTCAATAACAAATAAACAAACAACCCAATCCAAAAATGGGCAGGAGACCTAAATAGACATTTCTCCAAAGAAGATATACAGACTGCCAACAAACACATGAAAGAATGCTCAACATCATTAATCATCAGAGAAATGCAAATCAAAACTACAATGAGATATCATCTCACACCAGTCAGAATGGCCATCATCAAAAAATCTAGAAACACTAAATGCTGGAGAGGGTGTGGAGAAAAGGGAACCCTCTTGCACTGTTGGTGGGAATGTAAATTGGTACAGCCACTATAGAGAACAGTACGCAGGTTCCTTAAAAAACAACAAATAGAACTACCATACAACCCAGCAATCCCACTACTGGGAATATACCCTGAGAAAACCATAATTCAAAAAGAGTCATGTACTACAATGTTCATTGCAGCACTATTTACAATAGCCAGGACATGGAAGCAACCTAAGTGTCCATCAATAGATGAATGCATAAAGAAGATGTGGCACATATATACAATGGAATATTACTCAGCCATAAAAGGAAACGAAATTGAGTTATTTGTAGTGAGGTGGATGGACCTAGAGTCTGTCATACAGAGTGAAGTAAGTCAGAAAGAAAGACAAATACCGTATGCTAGCACATATATATAGAATCTAAAAAAAAAAAATGTCATGAAGAACCTAGGGGTAAGACAGGAATAAAGACACAGACCTACTAGAGAATGGACTTGAGGATATGGGGAGGGGGAAGGGTGAGCTGTGACAAAGCGAGAGAGAGGCATGGACATATATACACTACCAAACATAAGGTAGATAGCTAGTGGGAAGCAGCCGCATAGCACAGGGAGATCAGCTCGGTGCTTTGTGACCGCCTGGAGGGGTGGGATAAGGAGGGTGGGAGGGAGGGAGACGCAAGAGGGAAGAGATATGGGAACATATGTATATGTATAACTGATTCACTTTGTTATAAAGCAGAAACTAACACACCATTGTAAAGCAATTATACTCCAATAAAGATGCAAAAAAAAAATGAAAAAAAAAGTACATCATCATCATCGTAGTAGTTAAGATTTGCTGAACACTTAATGTGTCAAGCACTATACATGTATTACCTCACAAGGAGTACCCTCTATTATAAGCTCTGTTTTTACAAATTAGGAAGCTATGTAAAACAAGGTTAAATAAATTACCCAAAGCCATACAGCTAGTTAGTTAAGGATACTGCGGTTTGAACCCAAATAGTCTAACACCAGAACATACACAGATAGGCAGACACACACACAAATCAATATTATTATTATTTTCGTCGCGTGGCTTGTGGGATCTTAGTTCCCCGACGAGGTATCGAACCTGGGCGGCCAGCAGTGAAGGCGCCAATTCCTAACCACTGGACCGCCAGGGAAGTCCTTGACCTCTTCCTAGCCGTGCAAAATGCTGGGCAGGTTACTTAACCTCTCTGTCACTCCACTGACTCATATTTTAAGAAGGAATAATAATACTTACCTCAGAGGGTTGTTGTGAGGATTAAACAATTTAATACACATATTGAAATTGTTAAAATTGTGCCTGGCATAAACTAAATAATAAATGCTTATACTTCTATTTGCATTTTTTTTATGCCAAGATCTCTCTTTTCAGGATAGAAAGACACATTTAGTTAACCAAAAGTATGGTGGTAATCATTTCACAAAGTGTACACACATCAAATCATGTTGTAACATTACATGTCCATTACATCTCAATAAAACTGGAAAAAAGCGCATTAGTTAACTCCCAGAGGAAAAAATTGATCACTTAAGGACTAACATCCTCTGAATTCTTTCAGTTACACAGGTCTGCCAACTAAAGATGCACGTAAACAGCGTGTTCTATGAGGCATCCCCTGCAGAGTAGGACAGTTCTGGAATTATCAGTGGGGAGGAGACTCCCCCAGCCACCTGCTTTCAGCACGGAGAGCTCACCTGATCCTCCAGACTCCGGTCCCAGGGCTGGCGGCTCTCCCCAGCTTCCTCTGCAGGGGCTGCCAGGGGCTCATGCTTCTGGGCGCTGCCGTCGAGCCCTCTGGGGCCCACGGGCTTCGGGCTGGGCTGTTCCTGAGCCTGACGCTCTGACCTCGACCGGCTGAACGTCCTTTCTGCTTCCTGGAGATCCGTCAGGGTTACACCCTGGGAAAATACCACAAGGTCAGAGAGGTTTCACCCTAAGCATGGAATAACGCCCCGTGAATAAGCAGGGAAACTCTGTAAAGATCTAATGGTACCGAATTCCAAATGAAGCTCCCGAAATGTGTGAGGCCGCTTCAAGCAATATACGCTGAAAACAAACACCTCAGTACGCAGAGGCCCCAGGCCTGAGCCTAGATACACTTCAAACACAATACTTGAGCGTTTCCTGCTTGAGTTCCAGAAACAGGGCAGCACTGATGCCCGCCCGCTGCCTCCACACCCATGGTTCTCACGTCTCCACCTGGACGCTCCCGACCCCCCAAGAGCACGCAGCCACCAACAGAGACTGTCCAGCAGATACAAGGAAAACTTAAGTTTACGCACAGAAAGAAGAACCAGGCTCAAAATGGTGACAATTCAGAGCCAGGCTAGAACCACCACCAAAACCAAAAACCAAACCCACACAAACAAACACAAAACCGACCCTGAGGGAGCCGCCAAGATGCCAGAGCAGGAAGACCCTGAGCTCGCCTCTTCCCAGGGCACCAGGATAACTATGCACAGAACAACTGCTGCCCAGGCCCGACCAGAAGAGATCGTCTACAGCTACAGACGTACGAAAGAACCACCACGAGACGGGTAGGAGGGGCGACGCGCAAATGCTGTGGAGTTCTCCCCCAGGAGCGAGCGGGCTGCTCTGAGCCCCAGCCTGGGGGTCCTGCGCTGGGGGAGACAAGCCCCCAGAGCGTCTGGGTTTGAAGGCCAGCAGGGCTTCCTTTCAGGAGTCCCAGAGGGCTGTGTGGGGATAGAGACCCCACTCTTACAGGGCACACACAAAGTCTCACGTGCTCCACAACCCAGGGCAGAAGCAGTAATTTCAAAGGAGCCTGGGTCAGAGCCACCTGCTGATCTTGGAGAGTCTCCCGGAGAGGCAGGCCTGTGATGCTGGGGACACAGACGCTGGCAGCAGCCACTCTGGGGAGCTGCTTCAACCGCAAGGACACTGGTGCAGGCAGGCACCATCGTGGAGTCCTCCCTCTAGCTTATTACCCTCAGGACCCAGCCCCGCTCATAGCCAACAGAACACAGGCACCAGGAATGGGACGGCCTCAGGCCAAGCAACTAACTAGGCAGGGACACAGGCCCACCCACCAGCAGACAGGCTGCCTTATGACCCCCTGGACACAGCCCTGCCCACCAGAGGGCCCAGGACCCAGCCCCACACACCAGTGCACAGGCACTAGACCCGGGACCACCAGAGACCTGTAGCCAGAGACCCTGGGACCCAGCTCCACCGACCAGTGGGCAGACACCAGCCCCAGAAACCCCTGGGCCCTGGCCCTGCCCACCAGTAAGCCTCCTCTAGCCTTCAGACTAGCCTCACACGCCAATGGGTGGACACCAGCCCCAGGACAATCACAGCCCACAGCCTGCCGTGGGAGGACCCAGTCCATCCACCAGCAGGTCAGCACCAGCCCTGGGGCCAGCTGGGCCCCAGCCCTGCCCACCAGCAGGCCAACACAAGCTTCAGAACACACTGGACCCCACAGCTAGCTGTATCACGAGCCAGCCCCAACGATCAGCAGTCTGACACCAGCTCTGGACCCTGGGGCCCTGCAGCCAGACCCCCAGGACCCCGCTCTGCCCACCAGCAGGCCAGCACTAGCCCCAGGACGTAGCTTCACTCACCAGTGAAGAGGGCGGGCCACAGCCCCACTGACTCTACTCCCAGCGAGCCAGCACTAGCCCTGGGGCCCCCCTGGGTTCCACAGTCGGCCGCCTCATGACCTGGTCACGGCAACCAGCAGCCTCCACACAAGGCAGGGCCTGGCAACCAACCAGCCCACCCACATAGTCAGCCCACCACAACAGAATGACCCACGCAGCCCACAGAGGGGGCACCCCTAGAGCACACAGCTCTGCTGACCAGAGAGGAGCGCACTGCTGGGATGTACAGGACGCCTCCTACAGAAGGCCACTTCCCCAAGGTCAAGAAATGTAACCAACCTACCAGACACATGGAAACACAATGTTATAAACAGCAAGTTAGGCAAAATGAGGCGACAGAAGAACATGTTCCAAATGAAAGAACAAGATGAAACCGCAGAAGAACAACTAAGTGAAGTGGAGACAGGCAACCTACCTGAGAAAAAGTTCAAGGTTATGATCGTAAAGATGATCAAAGAACTTAAGAAAGAATGAACCGAGTGAGAAGTTGTAAGTTTTTAACAAAGAGTTGGACAATACAAAGAACAACCAAACAGAGATGAAGAATACAATAACTGAAATGAAAAATGCACTAGAAGGAATCAACAGTACACTAAATGATACAGAGGAACAGACCAGTGAGCTGGAAGACAGAATAGTGGAGATCACTGGCACCAAACAGAAAAAATATATACATATAAATAAACGAGGACACTATAAGAGACCTCTACGATGACATCAAATGCACTAACAGTCACATCACAGAGGTCCCAAAAGGAGAAGAGAGAGACAGAAAGGGTCACAGAACATATCTGAAGACATAACAGTTGAAAATTTCCCTAACCTGGGAAGGGAAACAGACATCCAGGTCCAGGAAGCACAGAGTCCCAAACGGGATCAACCCAAAGAGGACCACACCAAGACATATTGGAATTAAAATGGCAAAAGTTAAAGACAGAATATTAAAAGCAGCAAGGGAAAAGCAGCATGTTATATACAAGGGAACTCCCATAAAGCTATCAGCTGACTTTTCAGCAGAAACTCTGCAGGCCAGAAGGGAGTGGCATGATATAATTAGACTGATGAAAAGGAAAAGCCTACAACCAAGAATGCTCTACCCAGCAAGGCTCTCATTCAGAGTTGATGGAGAAAGCAAAAGCTTTACACACAAGCAAAAGCTAAAAGAGTTCAGCACCAACACACCAGCTTTACAAGAAATGCTAAAGGTATTTCTCTAAGCAAAAGAAAGGAAAAAGAAAACAAAAAAAGATCACAACTAGAAACATGAAAATTATGAAAGGAAAAATCTCATCGGTAAAGGCAAACATACAGTAAAGGCAGTAAATCAACCAAGTACAAACCTCCTAGAAAGGTTAAAAGACAAAGTAGTAAAATCAACTATATCCACAATAAGAAGTTAAGGGATACACAAAATGAAAGGATATAAAATATGATGTCAAAAACAGTAATCATGGGGGGAGAGAAGGAAAGATGCAGGGTTATTAAAATGTTATTTGAAATTAAAGAGATCAGTGACTTGAAATGTGTGTGTGTGTGTGTGTGTGTGTGTGTGTGTATACACACACACATATACTGCTGTACGCAAACTTCATGGTAATTACAAACCAAAAAATCTATAATAGATACATACACATAAAAGGGAAGGAAATCCAAACATAACACTAAAGAGGGTCATCAAATCACAAGGGAAGAGAACAAAAGAGGAAAGGAACAAAAAAGGACTAAAAAAACAATCCCGAAACAGTAACAAAATGGCAATAAGTACATACATATCAATAACTACTTTATATGAAATGGATTAAATGCTGCAATCAAAAGATGGAGTGGCTGAAAGGATACAAAAACAAGACCCCTATATTGGGGCTGGCCAAAAAGTTCGTTCGGTTTTTCTGTAAGATGTTATGGAAAAACCCGAACGAACTTTTTGGCCCACCCAATATATGCTGCCTACAAGAGACACACTTCAGATCTAAAGACACACACAGACTGAAAGTGAGGGAATGGAAAAAGGTATTCCATACAAATGGAAATGAAAAGAAAGCTGGGTAGCAATACTTATAACAGAAAAATAGACTTTAAAATAGAAACTGTTGGGACTTCCCTGGTGGCACAGTGGTTTAGAATCCACCTGCCAGTGTGGGAGACGTGGGTTCGATCCCTGATCTGGGAAGATCCCACATGCCGTGGAGCAACTAATCCCATGTGCCACAACTACCGAGCCTGCGCTCTAGAGCCCGCGTGCCGCAACTACTGAGCCCACGTGTTGCAACTACTGAAGCCCATGCGCCTAGGGCCCGAGCTCCACAATAAGAGAAGCCACCGCAATGAGAAGCCCACACACTGCAACGAAGAGTAGCCCCCGCTCGCCGCAACTAGAGGAAGCCTGTGCACAGCAACGAAGACCCAACGCGGCCATAAATAAATAAATAAATAGACAAACAAACAAATAAATAATAAAAATAAAATAAAATAAAGACTGTTACAAGAGAAAAAGAAGGACAGTACATAATAATCAAGGGATGAGTCCAAGAAGATATAACAATTGAAAATATATTTGCACCCAACATAGGAGCACCTAAATGAATAAAGCAAATATTAATAGACATAAAGGGAGAAATCAACAGTAACACAAAAATAGTAGGGGACTTTAACACCCCACTTACATCAAAGGGCAGATCATCCACACAAAAGATCAGTAAGGAAACTCTGGCCTTAAATGGCACATCAGACCAGATGGACTTAATATAGAGAGAGAATATTCCATCCAAAAGCAGCAGAATACACATTCTTTTCAAAGGCATATTCTCCAGGATACATCTGTGCTATATCATGGAACAAGTCACAGTGCATTTGGGAAGGCTGCAATCATATCAAGCATCTTTTCCAACCACAAGGCTATGAGACTAGAGATCAACTACAAGAGTAAAAACCACAGAGAACACAAACACGTGTGGCCCAAACAAAATGCTACTAAACAACCAATGGATCACTGAAAAAATCAAAGAAGAATTCAAAATATACCTGGAGACAAATGAAATGAAAACACAGTATTCCAAGATCTTCGGGATGCTGCAAAGCAATTCTAAGAGGGACGTTTATAGCAATACAGCCCTCTCAGGAAACAAGAAAAATCTCAAATAAACAACCTAACCTTAACCTAAAGAAATCAGAAAAAGAAGAATAAACAACACCCAAATTTAGCAGAATTTCTCCTAGGAGAACACATAGGCAGAACACTCTTTGACATAAATCACAGCAATATTTTTTTGGATCAGCCTCCTACGGCAAGGAAACAAAAACAAAAATAAGCAAATGGGACCTAATGAAACTTAAAAGTTTTTGCACAGTAAAGGAAACCATCAACAAAACGAAAAGACAAATGGGAAAGACTGAATGGGAGAAAATATTTGCAAATGATATGACTAATAAGGTTAATCTCCAAAATATATAAACAGCTCATACAACTCAATATCAAAAAAACAAACAAGCCAATTTAAAAATGGGCTGAAGACTTGAATAGACACTTTTCCAAAGAAGACATACAGATGGCCAACAGGCACATGAAAAGATGCTCAACATCACTCATCATCAGGGAAATGCAAATCAAAACCACAGTGAGATGTCACCTCACATCTGTCAGAATGGCTGTCATCAGAAAGACCGTAAATGACAAATGTTGGTGAGAATGCAGAGAAAAGGGAACCCTAGTACACTGCTGATGGGAGTGTACGCTGGTGCAGCCACTGTGGAAAACAGTATAGGGGACCCTCAGTAAACTAAAAATAGAACTAAAATAAACTAAAAATAGAACTAAAAATAGTATGATCCAGCAATTCCACTCCTGAGCATATATCTGAAAAAACCAAAAACACTAATTCGAAAAGACACATGCACCCCAATATTCACGGCAGCATTATTTACAACTGCCAAGATATGGAAGCCATCTAGCTGTCTATCAACAGATGCATGGATACAGAAGACGTGAGACACACACAGACACACACACATATACACATACTCCACATATGCATACATACGTATATGGAGTATTAGCCATTGGCATGAAATTTTGCCATTTGCAACAACATGGATGGACCTGGAGTGTATCACGCTGAGTGAAAAAAGTCAGAGGACAAATACTGTAAGACATCACTTCTATGTGGAATCTAAAAAATAAAATCAACTAGTGAATATAACAAAAAAGACACAGACTCACAGATATAGAGAAAAAAACAGTGGTTGCCAGAGGGAGAGGGAAGGGGGAAGGAAATACTGGGGCAGGGGATTAAGAGGTATAACTTATTATGCATAAAATAAGCTACAAGGATATATTTACAACACAGGGAGTACAGCCAATATTTTATAACTATAAATGGCATATAATCTTTTTTTTTTTTTTTTTTTTTTTGCGGTACGCGGGCCTCTCACTGCTGTGGCCTCTCCCGTTGCAGAGCACAGGCTCCGGATGCGCAGGCCTAGCGGCCATGGCTCACGGGCCTAGCTGCTCCGCGGCATGTGGGATCTTCCCGGACCGGGGCACGAACCTGTGTCCCCTGCATCGGCAGGCGGACTCTCAACCACTGCGCCACCAGGGAAGCCCTAGCATATAATCTTAAAAAATTTTATTCAGTATGATGTACACCTGAAGCTAACAATATTGTAAACCAACTATACCTCCATATTAAAAAATTTTTTAAAAAACCCCACAAGCCCTGAACTAGCATTTCTCTAACATAATTTTGTAACTGTAGGAATCACACAGAGACATTCCACCAATTAAAATTTTCCCCAGGCTCATAGGAGCAGTAGTACAGAAAAAAAGGAAATAATGAGGAGACATCTGCAGGACAAGGGGGAAATGGGTTAGGAAAACAGTGAGTTGATTCTTAACTCAAGTAGTCATATGCTCATGTCCTCAGAAGAGGGAAGTTCCAAAGCCGGAAGGCAACTATTAGCTATTTTGTTCACTCATTCTCTTAATAAAAAGTTACTGCGTTCTTAAGTACTGGAACTACAAAGACAAATCAAATGATTCCTGTACTCAAGAACCATAATCTAATGGAAAAGACATAAGAAAACAGATGAGTGTAATGGAAAGTAAGTATTAAGACAGAAACATATGATCCAGCCTATTCTATTTCTGGGTCTACACCCGAAAGAAGCAGGATCTGATGAGATGTTTGCACACTGATGTTCACAGCAGCCAAAAGGTGGAAGCAACCTAAGTGTCCATCAGTGGATGACGGATGAACCAAATGGGGTCTAAACATACAACAAAATATTATTCAGCCTTACAAAGGAAGGCAGTTCTGACATGTGCTGCCACATCGATGAACCCTGAAGACATTACACTGAGTGAAACGAGCCAGTCACAAAAAAGACAAAAACTGTGTGATTCCACTCGCATGAGCTACCTAGAGTCAAGGTCATAGAGATAAAAAGTAGAGCGGTGTTGCCAGAAGCTGTGGGGAGAGAGGTTCCGTTTGGGGAGACGAAAGCTGTTCTGGAGATGGTGGTGCCGATGACTGCACAGTGACGTGAATGCATGTAATGCCGATGAATCGTATGCTTAGAAATGGCTAGAGTATTAAGTTGTATGTTACGTATCGCCTGCCACAGTAAACCAAACCAAAACAAACGCTTGTCTGGCCCTCGTGGGGGTTACAGCCTCTGGGGAAACAAACCACCATGAAGCACAAGCAGTAACAGCTGTGGCAATGACTACCCAGGACGGCACCTGCCCGACCCTGGAGGGTCAGGAACGACACAAGGGCACTCGGGGGCTACGCATAGGTCCCTCTCTCAGTCCTCAGCTCTCCTGCTTGGCGTCTGTAGCATCTGAAGCTGCGGAGCTTCCCCTCTTCACTGGAGACTGCCGTTCACTCCCTCGGGTACCATCTCCTGGGTGACCCCTCAGCCCTCTGACTGCTCCTCGGTTCTGCTGCCTGGCTCATCCTCCTCTGCTTCCTTGACGCCCAATCACAGCCTCCCTCAACTGTTGCTGCCACATGCGTGTCATCTCCAGCTCAGCTAAGGAACAGCTTCCCATGGGCCTCCAGGCTTCACAGACCACTCCCAGCAGTTCTCTGCACAGCGACTTTTGCAAGATATAACGTAGATCATATCTTCCTTACTTCAAAGCTTCCCCGAGGGACTCCTCTTTTTTCTAACATCATTATTGAAACACAATCCACATAAGATCCGCCCTTTTAAAGAGTACAACTGGCTGTTTTCTAGTATATTCACAGAGCTGTGCAAAATCCCCATCTAATTTCAGGACATTTCATCACCCCAGAAGGAAAGTAACCCCACACCCTTAGTGGTCACTTCCCATTCCTCCCTCTCTCCAGCCCCCAGCAGATACTAACCCACTTTCTATTTCTCTGGATTTGCCTATTCTGGACATGTTCATACAAATGGAATCATGCCAGGTTTCTTTGACGCAGCATAACTTTTTCTTAAGGTTCATCCACACTGCAGCATTGGCATGCGTCAGGACTTCATTTCTTTTTATTCCCAAATCAATGGAAATTTGTGAGGGTTTTTTCCAGTTTTGTTAGCTGCTTCATTTATTTGGTCTGTGCAATGGCCCCGCTTGGGCCCACTGCCCAACACTCGCTGGGGCACCACCAGCCACAGAACTCTGACCTTGACGCTGCAGGGAGCCCAGGGCTCAGCCCTCCAGCGAACCTGCACACTCCACACGTAATCTTGGTCTATACAGCAAGTTAACTCTGGCCAGAGATGACACTGAATTTGGGTCTCTGGCTCCTGTGAATAGTGCTGTTATAAATATCTGTGCAGGGCTTTTCTGTAGAAGCCTGCTTTATTTCTCTTGAGTACACATCCAGGAGCAACATGGCTGGGTCCCGTGGTAACTCTATGGTTAACACTCTGAGATTGTGCCAGACTGTTCTCCTGCAGGAATTAAGGTGTGGGCCTTAAGCACACGTGGAATGATCAGTCTTAGGGAGGGAAGGAGAGAAACCTGCTCTGCGCCTGAAGAACAGAAGCGAGAGGGGGTGTATGGAGCTATGAATTCATTTGATTCTATATAGTGTAAGATTTAACAGGAAAGCTTTCACTACAATGGCTGGAATAAGGCACACATTTTATCACGGTTTAATTGTACTTCCAGTGGAAAGGCACACAGACAAAAAAGGACTTAAACACGGAGGTCACACTCACTTGGGTAGACCTGCGAGTCTGCCGAGCTTGTCTGGAGCGCGCTTTCCGTAACGACTCTGCTTCCTCGTCCCGTACAGGAGTCAGATACGACCTGCGGGGAAGAAGGGTCACAGCAGAGGTAAGGCCCTGGGGGCAGCAGGTGCGTCTGCACACCGAGGGGGTTTCTGTGAGCCAAGGTGAAGTGAGGCCGACTCAACCCGACAGCCTATCGGTGAACATTACATAAGCCAAGACATCATCTGTAAACGTACCAGTGTTCGTGCAGAATCACACCACCTGTAACTGTAAGATGAGAACTTTCTTTCCTCTTTCTCATCCTTAGACTTTTTATTTCGTTTCCTGCCTTCGCGCTCTGGCTAGCACTGATGACAGTCGTTTCCCTGCTTCGCTCCTGCCTTCAGAGAGACAGCTTCTGGCTAAGACCCTGCAGACTCTGCTCCTCAGGTGAAGGCAACTCCTTCCCCGCCCATGGGAGTGCACTAGGAGGGTCTTGCTGTTATTTGTTTCTTCGTTTAATCATTAGTGTGTGAACTTTATCATAGGCTTTTCTTCCCTGTATACTAAGATTATCATTTCCTTCTTTCTTCTGTTAATATGCAGAATTACACTGAACAAGTTTTGAATGATAAAACCACCCTAAATGCTTGGGATAAGCTCCACTTAATCATGATGTATCACCATTTATAGAGGCTTACTTTTTATATAGATTCAGTATTATTTACTTTAGGATTCCTCCATCCGTGTTCATGCAGGAAACTGGCCTGTAATTTTCCCTTGTAACAACCCAGCTAGTCTTGAAATTAAAGTTATGAAAGTTGGGAAGTGTTTTCTCCTTGTCTATTTTCTTTGAGAATCTGTGCAAGACTGGGGTCATTTCCTCCTTAAATAATTGGAAGGGTTCACCAATAGTCATCTGGGTTTAGAGTGTTCTTTATGGGAAGGTTTTAAATAAGGGTTGCAATTTCTTTAATAGAATTAGGCCTATTCAGATGTTCTGTTTAGGTAATATTTGTTTTTCAAGGAATCTTATCTATATTTTCATATTCAGTACCACAAAACGGTTCATAATATCCTAATAATACTTTTTAATTGTCACTGTAATACAAGCATATCTCAGAGATACTGCAAGGTCAGTTCCAGACCACCACAGTAAAGTGAATCTTGCAATAAAGTCAGTCATGTGAAACTTTTGGTTGTCCAGTACATATAAAAATTATGTTTACGCTATACTGTAGTAAGTATGCAATAGCATATCTTAAAAAAACAAGGTACATACTTTAATTTAAAAATATTGCTAAAAATGCTAGCCATCATCTGAGCCTTCAGCAAGCTGTAATCTTTTTGCTGGTGGAGGGTCTTGCCTTGATGTTGCTGGCGACTCGCTGGTCAGGATGGTGGTTGCTGAGGGCTGGGGTGGCCGTGGCGATGTCTTGAAAGAAGACAGCAGTGACGTTTGCCTCACTGACTGACTCTTCCCTTCATGAATGATTTCTCTGTAGCCTGTGATGCTGCCTGATACCATTTTACCCACAGTAGAACTTCTTTCAAGACTGGAGTCAATCCTCTCAAATCCTGCCCCTGCTTTATCAACTAAGTTATGTCATATTCTAAATCCTCTGTTGTCATCTTAATAACCTTCACAGTATCTTCACCAGGAGTAGAGTCCATTGCAAAAAAACACTTTCTTTTTTTCTTTAAATTTTATTTTTTTAATTGGAGTATAGCTGATTTACAACGTGTGTTAGTTTCAAGTGTATAGCAAAGTGATTCAGTTACACATATACATATATCTATCCTTTTTCAGATTCTTTTCCCTTATAGGTTATTACAAAATATTGAGTAGAGTTCCCTGTGCTACACGGTAGTCCTTATTGTTTATCTGTTTTATGTGTAGTAGTGTGTACATGTTGATCCCAAACTCCTAATTTACTCCTACCCTTCCCCTTCGGTAACCATAAGTTTGTTTTCTATGTCTGTGAGTCTATTTCTGTTTTGTATATAAGTTCATTTGTATCTTTTATTTATTTATTTTTTTAAGATTCCACATACAAGTGATATCACGTGGTATTTGTCTTTGTCTAGCTTACTTCACCTAGTATGATAACCTCTAGGTCCACCCACGTTGCTGCGAATGGCATTATTTCATTCTTTTTTTATGGCTGAGTGATATTCCATTGTATACGTGTACCACATCTTCTTTATCCAGTCATCTGTGGATAGACATTTAGGCTGTTTCTATGTCTTCACTACTGTAACTAGTGCTATGAATAAGAAACCACTTTCTTTGGTCACCCATAAGAAGCAACTCCTCATCCTTCAAGTTGTATCATGAGATTGCAGCAATTCCGTCACATCTTTAGGCCCCCATTTCTAATACTATTTCTCTTGCTTCCTCCACCAAATCTGCAGTTACCTCCTCCACTGGAGTCTTGAACCCCTCGAGGTCATCCATGAGGGTTGGAATCTACTTTTTCCAAACTCCTGTTAAGGTGGATATTCTGATCTCTTCCCATGAATCACAAATGTTCTTAATGGCGTCTAGAATGGTGATTCCTTTCCAGAGGGTTTTCAATTGACTTTGCCTAGATCCATCAGAGGAGTCACCAATCTATGGCACCTATAGCCTGATGAAACGTATTTCTTTTTTCATAAATTTATTTATTTATTTTTGGCTGCACTGGGTCTTCGTTGCTGCGCGCGGGCTTTCTCCAGTTGCGGCGAGCGGGGGCTACTCTTCGCTGCGGTGCGCGGGCTTCTCATTGCAGTGGCTTCTCTTTGTTGCAGAGCACGGGCTCTAGGCACGCAGGCTTCAGTAGTTGTGGCAAAAGGGCTCAGCAGTTGTGGCTTGCAGGCTCTAGAGCACAGGCTCAGTAGTTGTGGCACGCAGGCTTAGTTGCTCCGCGGCATGTGGGATCTTCCCGGACCAGGGATCCAACCCGTGTCGCCTGCATTGGCAGGTGGATTCTTACCCACTGCACCACCAGGGAAGTCCCCAAAATGTATCTCTTAAACAATAAGGCTTGACAGTTACTCCTTGACCCACAGGCTGCAGGACGGATGTGGTGTTTGCAGCATGAAAGCCACATGAGTCTCATCGCCCATCTCCATCAGAGCTCTTGGCTGAACCCAGGTGCACTGTTAATGAGCAGTCATATTTTGAATCTCTTTTTTTCCGAGTAAGTCACAACAGTGGGCTTAAAATATTCAGTAAACCATGTTGTAAACAGATGTGCTGTCATCCAGGCTTTGTCGTCCATGTACAGAGCACAGGCAGAGCAGATGTAGCATAATTCTTAAGGGCCCTAGGATTTTCGGAATGGTAAATGAGCATTGGCTTCAACTGAAAGTCACCAGCTGCACTAGCCCCTGACAGGAGAGTCAGCCTGTCCTCTGAAGCCAGGCACTGACGTCCCCTCTCTAACTATGGAAGTCCTGGATGGCATCTTCTTCCAATAGAAGGCTGTTTAACCTACATTGAAAATCTGTTGTTTAGTGCAGCCACTTTCAGGAATTATCTTAGCTGGATCTCCTGGATAACTGGCTGCAGCTTCTACATCAGCACCTGCTGCTTCACCTTGCACTTTTATGTTATTGAGAATGCATCTTTCCTTAAACCTCATGAATCAACCTCTGCTAAGCTTCAAGTTTTTCTTCTGCAGCTTCCCCACCGCTTTCAGCCTTCATGGAACTGAAGAGAGTTAGGGCCTTGCTCTGGATGAGGCTTTGTTGTTTCTGGTTTGATCTTCTATCCAGACCACTCAGACTTTCTCCATATCAGCGATAAGGCTGTTTCGCTTTCTTATCATTTGTGTGTTCACCGAAGTAGCGCTTTTAATTCCCTTCAAGAACTCTTCCTTTGTGTTTCCAGCTTGGCTGTTTGGTGCAAGAGGCCCAGCTTTAGGCCTATCTTGGCTTTCCACATGCCTTCCTCACTAAGGGTAGTAATTTCTAGTTTTTGATTTAAAGTGAGAGATGTGCAACTCTTCCTGTCACTTGAATACTTAGAGACCCTTGTAGAGTTATTAAGTGGTACTTTCTTCAACGTTAGTCGCAATGTGGAATCTGAAATGATGTTAACAGAATTTTCATATTCTGTTATGCCGAAATCCAGTGGTCTATCTCGTACTTCGGATGGAATGTCTTACCCAGGCGTGTCTTTCGTAAAATCTCCCAAATGGTGACACATTTCATTATGCAATAGTAATTTTAAAAATCACATTCTTCAACATACGGTTTAAGCTCCTTAACATCAGTCTTGGCAATGATTTTTTGGATTTGACACCAAAACCAAAAATGAACAAGTGGGACTTCATCAAGCTTTTTGCTTCTGCACAGCAAAGAAAATCAGCAACAAAACAAGAAGGCAACCTACTGAATGGGAGAAAATATTTGCAAGTCACATATCTGGTAAGGGGTTAATAGCCAAACTAGATAAAGAACTCATACAACTCAAAAGAAAACAAACAACCTGATTAAAAAAGGGACAGAGGATCTGAACAGACTTTTTCCAAAGAAGGTACAACACAGATGGCCAACAGGCACATGAAAAGATGCTCAACATCACTCATCATCAGGGAAATGCAAATCAAAGCGCAGTGAGATGTCACCTCACACCTGTCAGAATGGCTATTAGGTGAGAAATGACAAGTGCTGGTGAGGGTGTGGAGAAAAGGGAGCCCTCATGCACTGCTGGTGGGAATGTAAACTGGTGCAGCCACTCTGGAGAACAGTATGAAGGTTCCTCGAAAAACTAAAAATAGAGCCACCATATGAAGTTCCACTTCTGGGTGTTTATCTGAAGGAAACCAAATCACAATCTCCCTCTGTGCTACATCTGCAGCCCAGTGCTCACAGCAGGACTACTCACCATGGCCAAGATACGGAAACAACCTAAGCGTCTGCTGACAGATGAACGGATAAAGAAAATGTGGCGTATGTATGTGTGTGTGCATACACTCACGTGCGTGCGCACATGTACATACATAATGGAATATTATTCAGTCATAGAAAGAGGAAATCTTGCCATTTGCAACAACATGGATGGGCCTTGAGGGCATTATGCTAAGAGAAACAGAGAAAGACAAATACTGT